AAGATGGCGCTAAACTTTTAAAAATATTTCTAATGTCACAAAAAAAAAATTTGTAATTTTTGAACAGGTTTGTGCAATTGCTAATTCATTAATCTATTTCATATTAAAAAAAACGTAAAGTTTTTTTTAACATTTTTTTGGAAGTATAGATTAGCAAAAGAATAATCTTACGCCGCTGCATAATTTTCTGTAACAAGATTTTGCCATTAAAACCAACAGCGTAATATTTATGTATGTCAGAGATAAAAGAAATTTATCCTTGATCTCATATTTTAACTCGAATTTTCTGCCTAATTTTCATTATTTAAAAAAATTTTTACTGTAGTTTGCAATTAGAATAATATGCTAGACGAAGATAAGAAACAAATTTAGGATATGAAGCAAAATATACATACATTAAGCCTTTATTATGTATCCACTTTGCTAGATTTTTAAAAATATGTATATTTATTTGCCATGTGTGCAGATGTGCCCAGTTTCTATAAGATTATCGTAAATAAAAATTTAAATAATGCTAATGTGTGATAAGGATAATAGATCTCGCATACATTTACGTTGAGAAGAGAACCAAAAAATCTCAACCTAATACTAATTTGTTCAATATGCCATTTTTCGATTTTTGAAATAGTATGAGCTCTACACTATTTTACGTACGCTATTGTAAAATTTAAGATTAGATTTTTAGTTTTTAACCAATTTTTGTGATAATTAATCCTATTTTTTATTCCGTATCCGCTTATCTTCAATTTGAAAGTACAAAATATGTCGTCATATGATAAAAATTGGAGTCTATGCTTACATTTGAAATTTATGTTTCCATAAATTCAATTTGGTTTCAAAACATATTTTGTTTTAAAATTTTTAAATTTAAAGATTGGGATTGGAAAAAAGTTTTATTTTGTGGTTTTTTTTTTGTATTATACTTTTTTTATTTGTATTACATTTTTTATCTTTTGATCATTTCTGAAATATAAATATATAACATATATACATGAACGTTTCAATATACATACACATATAGCTATTTATATTTGTATGTATATACGGATGTATATATGAATGTTTTATTTAAAAAAAAAACTAAAAGTAATCTTTAATATTAATTTTCCTTTTTTTATATAAATTCTAATATATATAAAAGTAAATATATATACATATTTATATATGTATATTTTTTTATATTATGTGTGTAAATTTTGACATTGTTTTTCGTTTCCTTAACCTAAAGGAAGACTATATAAATTTAAATTCTATTTTATATTTAACGTATGTAGATATTTCCATACCTTTACTTTTTTTTACTAAATTTTAAATTGTATTTCTTTAGAAAATATCAATTTAGAAAATTTAAAACAAATGGACATATTAAATGATTCATTCAAAATTGTCAAAATAAAATAATTAAAAAAATTAATGTTATATAATAATGAAATTAACCTATATCCATACATGCATTTAAAAATATAATAATACATATTAAATTAATAAAAATATTATAATAAATGTACTATTACAATATCATTTTTATATTTTGATTATTTATTTTAAATATTAAAAATAAATGCGGAAACACACACAATAGTGTAAATGACATAATTTTAATAATGAGATCTTAATATTAAAATAGTTTTATTAGTAAAAAAAATTCATACTACAGTTTTATAAATCAGAGATTTTGAATTTATTTAATTTAGAATTATATTATGCATGCATATAACTTCACTTTAATTATTTAAATATGTATAAATTCCTTTTTAAAATCTAGTTCATACATAAATTTCTTTGCAAAGAAACTATTTGAGATTTCATATTCGGACTGAATTTAAAAAAATTAAGTAACATTTTAATTATTTTTTAAATTAGGCTTCTCAACGCTTGAAGGTTAATAATATGTTCTAAAGTTTTATAATAAATTAAAGATACAATATTGAGCGGTATGATTTTTTAATGACAATCTTCATTATATTTCATATTGAAAATTTGGATTTCTCAAATCAACTATATTTTATAGTTTATAAATATAAAAACTGTTTTTTTTTTTCATTTTTATGTTATACTAATTTTTTTTTTATCGGGGAGAAATAAAAATAATATTGAAAAGTAAGTAAATATATAAGTTAAATTTTTTTTTTCAAATTTCTATTGTATTAAAACATTTTACATTTAAATTAAATGCAATATTATTAGTAAAATATTAAAAATCCAAAATGAAAGTATGAAGTCGATTTTATCAACATTAGATTTTAAAATTTTAAAACTACAACTATAGTCAAAATAGAATAATATTAAAACAATAAGTTACGAGTATATTATTTTATGATATCGTCACAGAATAAAATGTTGAGCATTTGTGTGATCACAATATTATATTATATAAAGAGTGTTAAATAAAAATATTTTGCGTTTGAGATGATGATTGTATTTGGATTATTCGAATGCATTCTCTTTTTTAAAATCCAAAACAGTTTTCATGCACATATATGTATGTATATATCTTAAATAATAGATGGTTTCATGGTGAACTAATTTTTTTGAAATCTTAAATATAATATAGCACATTTTGAATTTTAATTTTGAAAAAAATAATTAATAAAAAAATTACTCTTTTAAGGTGATATTTATAATATAATATAACAATTATACAAGCATATATCAATATATTACAATTGTAGATTAAATTATCTTATATACATGCATGTATGTATATGTTGGTATTATAAACTAGAATTTATTAATATTCATTCTATAATATATATGTACATAGATTTTTAAGTTTTAGTTTTTTTTTTTATAATTTGTTTTATTTTTTTTTATAATAATAAATCAAAGTATATAGTCTCTTAAAGCACATTTTCTTCATTTTATTTTATTACAAAATAATTTCAATTTTTATTTTATTCTCATTCAACTTAAATTAAACATTTTTAATAAAATTTTTTATAGTTTTGTTTTCGATTTTAATTTTTCTTTTGGTATTTTAATTTATATTTTTATATTAATGTACATATATATGTAATAAAATCTTACATAATTATTATAAGCATATGAGTGTTTGTTGTATATTAAAAAAAATCTAAAAATAACGCAAACTAAATATATTTACTTTTTATATTTTATAAAAAGTTCAAGTATAATTAATATATATTTTTATTTTATTAAAATATTAATTATTATTAATTATTAACTTAATATTTAAATTATTTATTCATTAACATATTGATTTATTAATATAATTAAAACATTTTTATTTTTATAAAATATTTATATATATTTAAATGTGTAATTAATTTAAACAAAAAATAAGACGAGAGATATCGCCGATATTTTTAATATTTATTCCTAAAATTTATTATATATATATATATATATATATATATATATATATATATATATATATATATATGTGTATTATATTTTATATTTTATACATATTTTTTTATTTAAATATCTTAAAACTTTTTTAAAAATTTTAATAATTTCTTATAATTTTGAGTTTTTCTTTTAATTGTATCAGCTATTTATTATTATGTATATTATTTTTTTGTATATGAGTTATAAACATTTAATTGTATATATTTGTACATACGTAATGACGTGATACTGTACCTATATATATACATATACATAATTGTTATTGTAAATAACATAAAATATTCAGAAAATAATTAATATAATTATTGTATATTTTCAATTTAGAATAATTATTTCTGAATTTATATATATATATAACCAACTCTATCATGAATTGAACTCGTAGAATCCTACGAATTACGAACATAACTAAAACGTGAACTTTTGAATGATCACAAATTCTTTTCGTAGAGATTAGAAATCACCAATGGCATTATCATTTTTCGGAGTGTCAAAATCAGTATTTTACTTCAACTGTCAAGTGTAAATTTATATTTTGTTGCTATTTGAACAAAAAAGTTTCGTAGCAATGATAATGTTAGTAACATTACCATTGCTGAAAGTATTTATTTTACACCAGCTGAAAGTATTTATTTTAATTTTTACATGCATATAGCGTTAGTATATATAGTTGATATTTAAAATGAACTATTTTCAATTGGGCTAATTAAAAAATTTTATTCCAATCGAAAATAATTCACTTTAGTATATTAAAATGATTTCACTAAACCCATTACATGCTATAACATAGAAATGACAAAAAAATTAATTTCGACAAAAACGCTATGCAAAACGTTAAAACGTTTGAACGCGTTTCAGAAATGTTAAACTTGAAATGGGTTACATTATAATACCCCAATTTGATTTATAAAATTTTAAATTACACATAATTAATAAATTTATTGTAATAATTTCAAAAAATCAATTTATCGTATTAATTTTCATATACATATATATTTAATTGTATACATATATCATTTTTTAGTTATGTTATTTAGCATAAAAGACTATACATAAATACATATAATACATGTATATGTATATAGCTATGCATAGTATTTAATTTTATTAAAAAATAGCGAGGTTTAATTTAATATTATATGAAAATATTATATATAGTAATCTATGTAATTATGTACAGAAGTTCTTCTTATTTATTTGTTTTAAAATTATATAAATTGTGCATTTCTTTGTTATACATTATAATAATATAATAATTTTTGTGCGTTATATAATTTATAATTTATAATAGAGAGTATTTTGATAACAATAAAATTAATGGCACTAAAAATTTTAAGTAATGAGAGTACATAACGTAATAATAATATGGTAAATAATAAGGTAAATAAAATAATTACAATTATTTACTCATATTATTTTAAACAAAATCCAGTCTTACATCAAAGATGTTATATCTAAAATTATTAAAAATTTGATGTCATAATTACATTGATTTAATACACATACAAATAAGTATATATTATGTTACATAAAGTTAAAATAAAATTTCATTTTTCCAGATATTAACATTTTGTTTTTACAGATTTAAAATTTTAAGATTTAAAAACAAATACGACAGAATTAATTATAATATATTTTTCTTTATTTCTTTTATTGAATCATTTGTAAGAATCTATTCTCTTCTAATAATGAATTTAAAGATGTTGTCATATCATTAATAATCATATTTGAACTTGGATGTGTTGAACTACTAACAACATCAACAGTATTTTCAATCCAATTTTGACAATTTTGTACATATTCTAAAGTTCTTTGATATGCATCATGTCTCATACCATTATAATTAATATTATTATTATGATTGATTATTTGATTAATATTATTTGTATCATTATTATTATTATTATTATAATTATGACTAAGTGGTAATGATGGATTATTAATATTATTATTGGTATTATCATTATTATTATTATTGTTATTATTTATTAAAATATCATTATTTGGATTTGTGTTTGTTGTTAATAAATTTGAATTTAATGTATGTTCAAGACATGTCATCATAATATTATTATTATTTCTATTATTATTATCATTATTACGATTAATAATAATATTGTTATTAATATTTAATGATTGAAAATGTGATTGCTGTTGTTGATTTCTTTCATTTAATATTGAAGAATTAGATGCTAATTGTGTTGTTGTATTTGATGAATTATTATTATTATTCTGTAATATATTTATGGGTGGTGTTGTTGTTGTGGTTGTTGTTGTTGATGTTAAAGATGATGATTGTGTTGTTGTTGTTGTTATACCATTAATTTTTGTAGATATTATTTTATTATCATTATTACTATTTTGCTGTTGTTGTTGTGGATGATGTGATGATGATACTGCAATTGGTGACATTTGTGATTGACTAATATCACCGCATTGTATTTCTTTTTGTTCTTTATTATTTAATTGCCTTAAATGTTGTTGCTGTTGTTGATAATGATGATGGTGATGATGGTGGTGATGATGAAGTGACTGATAATATTGATATTTATTACATTTATCATAATTACTATTATTTGTATTATTACGACAATTTGGATGATGTAAATGATGTAAATGATGATGATTTTGTTGTTGTTGTTCTGTTGGTGATAATGATAAAGTATTTTCATTTTGTATTTGCATTAAATTATTTGGTAAAATTATATTCTGTTGTGATTGTTGTGATAAATAACGATTTCTAATATTAGTCTGTTGTTGCTGTTGTTGTTGCTGTTGGTAAGAATGATATTGTGGACAACAACATTGTGAAGCACTGGAATCTGTACGATGATAATAACCTGGTAAATTTTGGCAGGCAACAATGGATAAATGTTCTTGCTGATGATTAAATTGACATTGTTGTGTCAATTGTTCTTCTGTATTATTTTGTTGTTGATAATTTAATGAATTAATAAGCGATGATGAAGGTAATGATGATTGTTGCTGTTGTTGTAGATTATTATTATTGTTACTGCTATTATTAGGATTATTATTATTGTAAAAGTTAGCTGAATCTGAATTTTGTACATTTGTATTCATTGTATATGGTTTTTGAATCTGATTATGGTGTTGTTTAATTGTTAAAGGTAGTTGTTGTTGTTGAGAATATTGCCGAGACGCTGGTGGTGTCATCATTTGGGATTGCTGCTGTTGATTTAATGGACTAGCCGGTGATATAGTGGGACTATTTACAAATAATCCAATTGATGTTGTGCTTATTTGTTGGGACTCATGCATATTAGATTTTTGTTGTTGCTGATGTTGCTGTAACTGTTCTGTTTGTACCATTGTTAACGGTCCATATACTGGCAAACCATTTATTTCTGTATATGCTGTGAAGTTATCTAATTTGCTATTTAAACTGTTGTTATTATCGCCTTCATTTTTATTATTATTATCACTATTACCATTCTTATTATTATTATTATTATTACAATTATTATGAGTTTCACTATTTTTATTAGAGTTTTCATTATCAAAATTATTATCATTGTTACAAATATCATTACTGTCATCATTAGCATTACTATCATCATCGTCAATATCCACATCATTATTATTATTATGATTATCACCATTTATAGAATTTGGATTATCAGCAACTTGATTCAAATATTGTAACATTTCATCAGGTATAACTAATTTATTTTCAACCATTTCACCTTCTTCAAACTCATCTAAAACAACTTCTTCATTGGGATGATGATCTCTTGAACTACCAGCTTTTGTGTTACTAACATTATTAGTGTTAGTATTTTTATTACGATCATTACTTTGAATATTATCGTTTAAATTACTTTTATTATTTTGCATATTTTCAGTATCATTGCCCTTATTATTTTCTATATCTTCATCTTTATTACTGTTATTACTACTATGATTTTCATGATTTTTATAATTATTGTTATTTGTAGGACTACATAAATTATCGATAACATTATTGGATGTCGTACTACATACTTCGTTATTACTGTCGTTATTGGAATTACTTTCCATATTTTCATTATCACTATTTTTACCATTATTATTATTATTATTATTATTATTATTAGAAGAATTATTGTTACCTTTCTTAATTAATTCACAATTATCATTAGCTTTACAATTATTATTGAAATTATTATTATTTTTATTATTATTTATTTTTTTATTATCCTTGTTGTTGTTAATGTTACTATTGCTATTATTATTATTATTCTGTATAATTGGTGTTGTTATACTTGATGTTGATGGTGCTGGTGATAATAACATTCGATTGAAATTTTGATTTCCTCTTATTGGTTCAGATTGACGTCTATCTGCTAAATTATTACCATTTATTAGGAAATTACTATGTTGATTACGATAATTACTGTTATTGTTACCAATATAAAAATTCATATCATATTGATTGGTACCAGTTGCTGTTATTGTCGATGAATTTGTTGTTACATTCGGTATTGAGAAACGACCACCAGAATTCATCAAGTTATTATTAATAATGCCACAATAATTATTACCATCATTGTTATTATTACTATTATTATTATTGCAGAAATTAAAACGAGAATTAAATATATTATTTGTTTGTTGTAAACGCTCTAAATGCGATGAAATCAAGTGTGAAGATGGAGGCGGTGGTAAACCGTGACCAACAATATTACAAGAATTATTAATTAAATTATTATTATTTTGGCTGATATTATCATTTTGATTATTATTTTGAGCATTATTGTTATTAATATTATTATTATTATTAGTACCATTTGTTATTGTTGACATTTGACTAGAACGGCGTGAACATCCTGGTGATATTGGATCATAAAACGAACCTGACATATAAGATGCAGGACGCATTGTTGAGATCGATGATAATTGCGAGGTTTGACTACTACGTCTACTACTATTTTGATCATTCGAACGCATACTGCAATAATATGTACTTGCATTTGAGTTATTACTATCGCGACGCATTTGCTGTGGTGGTATTTGTTGTGATTGAAGTTGTTGATTTTGCCCTAAATGCTGATTTTGGGTTGATTGCTGATTTGAATTTAAAATGGTTCCAGTTCCAATAATATTAGATGATTGGTTTAATCTTGTTTGTAAATCTGTTAAACAGCTATTATTGTTGCCGTTGTTGTTGTTGTTATTTTGCGATAGTATTGATGTTGTTGTTAATGTTGAAGAAGTTGATGTTATAGTTGTAATACCTGGTTCCATTTTCAAATCATTAATACGTTGATTTAATTCACCAATAACAATATTACATCTATTATTCATTTCTGGTATATTAGATAATGGTGAATGTAAATTTTTAGCTTGTAAACGACTACGAAAACGATTTTTACCAATCGAACTAAGACTAGTTCCACCGATTATACCACCAATATTACCTCCAATTGATTGAACTGTGCATAATGTTGCTACTTGTGCACCACCACCACCACCAATCATTCCATTACCACAATTTATATTATCACCAATAATTGAATTATTGCATGTATTATTATCATTATTACCATTATTGTCATTATTACCGCCAATAATGTTATTCAAATTATTAGATGATTGTAAAATATTTGAATTAGAACTATTATTAAAATATAATGAATTTGTTGTATTACCGATATTTGAAATACCAGAACCAATAATATTAGAATTATTTATAAAACTATTACCAATAGTATTGATATTATTAATTGGGCCGGTTGTTATAATACTATTTGGGCTATTAATGCCATTATTACCACCAACAAGAATATTATTATTATTAACACAATCAATTGATGATGTATTATCCATAATATTACTATTTAAATTACGTAATATTGCTGGTAGATTACTTCCGATAACATTATTACCACCATCTAAATCATCATCTTCATATGGCCAAATTGGAACATTACTGTCTATATAATTGTTATTATCATTATTATTACTAATATTTGTACCATTATTATCATTAATACTATTAATAGCATTTATTCCATTGTCAACGTTACCATCTATAACTGAACAATTGTTATAATCATCATTATTATTTACTCCACCATTTATATTACTATTATTATTATTATTACCATTATTTTTATTAAAACTATTATGATTAAAATTATTTATATTTTGCATTAAATTTGTAACATGATGATTATGATGATTACTATTATTTGTTGTTGCTGTTGTTGTAACGCCACTAATTGTTGGACTATTGATTTGTATTTGACCAGGTGAATTTGCTTCAGATTCAGATTTGATGCTTGGACTTGATAAACTAGCTGTTTTTCCAGATTGTAAATCATCACTGCGTGGCGATGAATCTAGATGATTATTACTATTATTATGATCATCATTGTGATGATGGTGATGATGGTGATGATTATGATGATTATTATTATTGCTATGATTATTATTACTATTATTATTATTATTACTATTATTATTGTTATTATTATTAGAATTATTATTTGTATTATTACTATTATTATGATGATTATGATTATTAATATTATTATTACTACCGCTATTATTGTTACTATTATTATTTGTAATATTATTGCTAGAATCATGTGAAGATCCTTTGTGCTTTTTATTTGCATAAAATTCAGCACCGTGTACCGTTTTAACATGTTTTCGCAATGAAGATGGATCTGTGTAACGTTTTGTACAACCAGGTGCTTTACATACATACGGTTTCTAACCAAAAAGGCAAAAACAAAAACAGAGACAAAAAAATTTAAAAATCAATAATTTTGTATATTTATAATTAGTTTTATAAAACATATTTTATAATTGTAATAAAAAAATTTGGATTCTACAATGTGTTAATAAATTCCAAATATTTGTTTTTTTTTTTTCTTACCTCATTACTATGGGTTCGATTTTGATGTTTTGCACGATCAGATGCATTACTAAAAGCTTTACTACAGCCAGGATATTCACACGTGTAAGGTTTTTCACCAGTATGAGATCTCAAATGTGTTTTTAGATTTTCAAGTCTTGAATAAGCTTTACAGCAGCCTTCAAACTATGAAAAATATAAAAAATAAAAATAGTAAAATGATTGTAAGCTTAGTATAATTCAGTTTTTGTTCAATAAATTTTTGCTTACAGTGCATTTATGAGGTTTTTCACCGGTATGACGTCTCATATGTACAACTAGCATATATTGAGCTTTAAATGGTTTCTCTTCTCTAGAGCAATCCTCCCATCTACATACAAATGATTTTTTATTTGCCTGTATATGATCATTATTTATATGTTTAACTAGCTCCTCCTGTGTCATAAATTCAATACCGCAATCACGCCAGTGGCAATTTGTTTCAACAAAATCTCCAGGCTCATCCTTAATATCAGTTGTATCAACTGTTGGTATTTCAGTATCCATTGTATTACTGTTATTAGTACTATTATTATTATTATTGCTGTTAATATTACTTATATGATGATTTGATGTTGTACTACTTAAATTGTGTAATTTTGTTTGATGTTGATGGGATTGATGTTGATGCGATTGTTGTGGATAATTATATTGTTGTTGTGATTGTTGCATTTGGACATTATTTGATTCCAATTTTCCAACATTATGATATGTTGTTGATGATATTACATCACGTTTTGATCTTGATCCTTTTTTATTTACCATTATTGGATTTGATGCACTGTCAGCTTCAACTTGTGCAACACCACCGGCTGTTGTTGTAATTGATGGTGAAGATGGTAATTCAGGTTTTTTTGATAGTTCTTCTAAATGCTATTTTTTGTTTCAATTTTATAAAATAAATATAAAAAAATTTAAAGTATATAAAAAGCAAAAAAAAAAAATAAGAAAAAAAAAACAAAACAAGAATAAAGCTTACAGGTAATTTATTTGATAATGGACTACTAGTTGTTGTTGAAACAGATGTTGGTCCATTTAATGGGTGATGTGTTAATGGGAACATACTACCAGGTGGTGTATGATGTGATGCTAATGGATGTAATAGGCCAGCACCAGCTCTAAGTAAATGTGCTTGTAATTGTTGTAAATGTGGCATACCAGTATGTACACTAAATGCTGCTGGACTCATTGCACCAGCTGATAAATGACCATATGACCCGCTTGCACTACTATTTCTAGATCCATTAACAATTGTTGCTAAACTATTCGGTGAAAAACGTATCATTGAATTAATATCAAATGAATCTGAATATGGTGATGATGATAATGCTCTTTTACGGCTTACACTTGCTCTTATACTACCAGATCTTGGACTATTTAATCTTGAATTTGCATCTATACTAAAATGAAAATCTGTACTAGCTAATGAACTTGGTGGTGGTGGATGGTGTCCAACAGTTAAACTATCAACTAATGTACTACTACGTCCCGTTAAATAATCCGCTGAATTTAAACCTAAACCAGTTAAATGTGCAACTGCTGCTGCTGAACTACTATTTGTCAAAGATTCTAGGCCACGTTTTTGTTGTTGTACAGCTGCAGCAGCAGCAGCTGCTGCTGCATGATGTGCTGCTACTGCAGCAGCTGGAGAATAGAATGGATTTGCATGTAATGATGCTGTTGGGCTAGCTGCTTGTGCAGCTGCATGCTGTAATGAATATAAATGTTCCATATAACCTGGTATTCTATATGCTGGATGGAAATCATGTGGCTGATGTGTTTGTGGTGGTAAACCATTTGATGTTGCACCAACACCATTTACACCAATACCGCCATTTGTTGATGTTGAAACAGTTGATAATGATTGTTGTTCAGCACCATTTAATAAAGACGTTGTGTTATTACCCCCAGTTAATGCTGCTAAATTTTGTCCACCATTTCCTGATAAAGCTGATGTTGGTGGTGGAGGTGGAGGTGGTGGTGGTAATACTGTAGCTGCAGCTGCAACAGCTGCTGCTCTTCTTGATGCTAAAAATTGTAATTCCGAATAACTAGAATTATTTGAAGTTAATCTGTATAAAAAGAATATAAAAAACAAAATATTTTATATATGTTTTTTTTGCTTATTAATTTGTTAGAACATAAATTTGAAAATTTTAAAAATTTAACTTATGATTGCAAACATATTAACAATTAAATGTGGCATCATATAGAGGAAAAGGATTCTACTAATATAAATTTCCAAGAAAATGTAAAATTCAAAAGACTTAAGAAGGAAACCTTTTTATTTTTAAAATGTATGCCTATGTAAACTTCTTCCCACTGTCGTAGGCGCACAAATCTCACTCTCGTAGATGTAAAATTTTTTTTTCAAAATTTTTCGATAGCATTTTTATCAAGAATAACAATAACGGGTCTAATAAATAAAGAAGAGTAGTAATTTCGCATACTTCTCTAATTTTTTATCGCATAAATTACCGAAAAATTTTATTATAGACACGAATCATTTTTTTGTAAATGAATTTTGGTTTGCGTTTACAATAATAATATCGTCAATTTTTTTACGATAAGTAATCACTAAAACATTTTAGTTAGTATGTACGTTTCCAATTAATAAATCTTAATTTTAATGTTAAAGTTTGGGATTTTTTTTTTTAAATTTTAAATTATATACAATTAATTTAAGGAATCCTATCTAAATTAAAAATTTACTTAATTAAAGGTTGATTTGTTCAATATTAGTTTACTTTCTATTTAAATTAAGTCATATACTCAAAAAGTTCATATTTAAAGTATGTATATAGCACAAAAATGGTAAATATAATTTAATAACATTCCTATATATTCAGACATATCCGAAAATAACAAGAGAGAGAGAGAGAGAGAGGGAGAGAGAGTTTTTATTACATGGAGCATAGTTAAAGAATATCTTCGAAATAAAATAAAATAGAGATATCGTTTCTTATGTTGTTCGCTATATATATTACATAATTACATAACATTCTATACATAACATAAAATTTCCATTTTTTTTTCTATCTATATCACTTAAAAATCAAAAGAATCAATTTACTATTTAATGAATTGGAAATAGTTTTTTTTTTTCGTATTATAGAATTTATTTTCGTATATTAGAGTTTAGTGGAATAAAAGAGTTAGAAAATATAATCGTTATAATTATAAGTATTTATAAATAGATGTGTAAGGTGTTCTTTGCTCTTTTGTGTTGTTCTTGTTTTGATTTACTTCTTACTACATTTAGAGCTTACTTACTACATTTAGAAATGGCCTTTTTTAAATGGCTATTATCTTATCACATTTACCTTTAGACAAAAAAAAATACTCATATTTCTTCTTAAATTTTCCCTCTCTCTCTATCTCTTTTAATATTTATTCTCAATTTATTTATTTTCTCTTCTTTCCTCCACTTCAGTGCTGTCAAACATTTCATTTTCATAGTACTTGCACCATTTTTTAGACTCTTGTAACATGAAAATTTTTTACTTATATTCTAAGAAAAAAGTGTACCATTTTTTCAATCACTTTTTATTAAAATGTGCCATTTTTTGATGGAGATTGAAAATTTTTGCTAGTTTTAATTTGTCTCTATAAATAAAACAACAAATACGATATATATAATATATTTACGATATTTAATATTTTGTGATTTCTATGGCTGTGATCGGTACCATAACATGAAATACTGCACTATCTTTGCGAATTGGAAATAAGTAAAACTTTTATTAAAAAAAAAAAGTTCGTACAATTCATGAATGCTTACTAAGATTTTATGAAAACTACGTGAAACTTCTACATGTTCACATTGTTTTGTAGTTTCTGTTTCAAGAAAAATAGGATTTTTAAAAGAAATTCTTTAAAAGCTGTACTTTTCATACTTTAAGATTGTTGTCATAAATTTAAAAAAAATTCATTTTTTTTAGCTTTTAAATTTTTTTCGTTCTATTTAGCCCAATAAAAAATTTTTCAAATCCCAAAAGTGTTTTAATCGTATTTTTATTTTTTATGCTTTGATTTAAGGTTTTAGTTAAAGTTTTTAAATTGCAGAAAGTGTTCAAACTTAACACTTTATCGACCGGTTGTGGTTGAGGCTGCTACTCAGTAAAAACCGACTAAGTCGCGCCCGATTTTACTCCCACTACCGGCTAAATTTTTACTATGCATTGTGTTGTGCTTATTCCTTTTGTTATAAAAAGTAATAAAAAGAGCAACCCACTGACAAAAACCGTCGATAACTAAAATCCAATTAATAGGCTACCGGTCAATTAGCGCTGGCAATTGAAAAGCCGATAAATAGGCTACCGATCGATAAAGTGTTAACACCTATGTTTAAACATATTTTTCACTTATTTTCGATTTAATGCAGGGAAAATGCCAAAAAATGTTTGATTCAATATTTTTATAAATAAAATTTTGATTTATTTTCAATATTTTAATATTGAAAATTACTTCATTGGTGCAAAGTCTCAAAATTAACAAAAAAAAAAATGGACCATTTTTTTTTTGCCTGTGGTACCATAATTTTAGGTTTTCTATACCAATTTTGGCAATTCAATTTATGGCAGCCCTGCTCCACCTTCACTAATTTTTATTATTTTTCTTTTATTTCTCTCTCTTCTATTCTTTTCTCATAAATTAAAAAAAATAATGGACGTGATTAATTTTTTTTTTGTTTTCTCTAAACACGCCACGCATTGTTGTCTTTTTTATACGTTTTCGATTATCTTTACCATTCACCATTCAAATAAGTGCGGTTGTTTGCTATTTTTATTATAGAAATTTCAGTCTCTATATAAACAATACAAATATATATGTGTTTATTAAAGGTTAGCTGTGTTTAAACGAATCGAATCAAATTATTATCCTTTTTTTCCTTCTTTTACATATTAGAAGATTTTCTGTTTTCTTCTTTTTGTTTGTTCATTTGGGGGCGCCCTTTGATAATTGTTAAAAAGCCAATATACATAAGTCAATTTTTTATTTTGATTTCTCTCCACCTTAAATCACACTTTCATTCCATTCCCCTCTTAGGTAATTATTATATATTTTGTACTTTTTTATTCGTATAAGGTTTTATTTAAAGAAATATAAATTAAAAGGAAAGTTTTTAGTAGAAAAAGGTCTATTCTATAATATATGTATAAAATTTCATATTTTGTGTATAATAATTATAACAAAAAATAATGCAAAGCTGTTATACATTGTTATTTACAATTTAAATATTTAAATATGATTTCTTAAATATAAAGTAATTTTTAACTTCAAAAGTTTTCATAAATTAAAGAAATTGAGAACGCCTGGCGGTCAAATCTCCAACTCACGGCCGAAATCATGTAATTATAATGTTATATGAATGATGGTCATCAACTAAATGTTCTTTTCACCATCATGATATTGAATTATTTAATAGAATAATATTATTCAATAGAAATATATAGAATAATAAGGTAATTTTTAATATTATTTCAAATATATGAGTATAAGTTACTGATGTTTTTGTTACAATAATTCTGGCGTTTCACAAGGTTAAGTGCCTATATCTTTTAATGAATACATCAAAAAATTGATTTATGTGGTATGGTTTTTAATAATATATTTATAGTTTCTCGCTTGTATCTCCTGATGATGGTTCTGAAATGAACGTGGACAATTTTTTGTTAAAATTTTTGTTTTCTCTATTTTAATATGGATTTATACCTTGCATACAATATTTTAATATATGGAAATGTGATGCTGAAATACTCGCTTTTTAATTCACGGTTAATTGTAATTCTAGTATATTACGATATATATCTTAAATTTATTTTTAAATAAAATTTGCATACATGTCTATATATTATTCCATACATTCATTTGTATGTATAAAAACTGTATATATATTTACATTTTCACTTATTTGTTTTTTGTATGGAATATGTATAATGGCTAATAAATTAAGTAGATTTCATTACGCTCTTCTGTTTTTTTTTTTATTTTTTTGGTTTTGTTAACCTTCTCTTTTGTTGTTGACGTTTTAATCTTTAGTGACATTTTATTTTCCTTATATAGTTGAGATTTTTTTTTTTCAAAAAATTTATTTAATTCAAATTGAAATGTAAATTACGCGCATAAGATTTTTCTTCTCTTTTTTGAGATTGCATATTGAAACGAGGAAAAATATAGTTGACCGTCTAAACTCTGTGATACACATACGAATTTATCTTTATCCTATGTGCAAATAAATATGATATAGCTGATTTTGGGATAGATTCTGATTTTAAGTTGTGATATTACCATATCAATTTATGCAAAATTTCAATACCACAGCTTTTATAGTTTCTGAGGTATAGTCAAATAAATTTTGGAGTGTACAGCAGCTACCAAAACCAGTACCGCAATCATGTCCAATTTAAATAGGGTTCTGGCACTTACTACAATAAATCATTTGTGGAAATTTGGTGAGATTAGCTCAATTAGTTTTTGATTTATCGTTGGGACGGACGGACGTACGTACGTACGGCCAGGCAATTATTTCTTAGCGTTACAAACGGTAAGGCAAGTTTAGTATACCCTTCGAACATACAGGTTAAAAAAAAAGTGTTTAGCAAATGTAATTATAAAAAATTAATATTTAATTTCCTGAAAAAGGATATACAGGACACCAATGCAGAGGAATTAAAATTGCCGAAAAATAGTTTTCGATGTATATTATTATGGTCTCGAATACGCGTAGAAGTTTATAACTATATTAGATTTAGAGAATTGTTTATAATATGATATTTTTTATATTTTATTTTATTTTAATTTATTAAATATAAACTCAAAAGGAGCTAACTACCTCGTTACCATTTCTATGTTGATATTTTTCTGTATTTTATGCCAATTTTTGTTATGGCCTAGGTATTGTTGTTGTTATGTTTATGGATTGTGTAAATTTTCAGAAGAAAGGACGAAAAATTAGTTTTGTATTCGCTAATACAGAATTCCTATAGTAAAACCGTTAGCAAATTTTTGTGGTTTATAGACAAATATAAACTATGTGAGTATTAGAATGGACCACTCGAGTTTCTTACAT